TATTGTATTATTTTTCCTTTTGATTTTCAAGTTGGGTGTTTTTTGCTTCTTCGTATTTCAAATATTTGACTTGATTCTTGGGACCCTCTAGTCTGCTGTTGGATCTCTGTATATTATTCTTTATTTCATTCAGTATATGCTTAACTTCTAATTGGTCCTTTTTCATATGCTTGAGGGTCTCACTATATTTCTCAGAACTTTCTAGAAGATTTTTGAGTAGCCTATAACCATGGTTTTGAACTCTATATACAAAAGTTTGCTTTCCTCCATTTCTTTCATTTGTGACCTGTTTCTTTGCCTCCCATTTTGGCTGCTTCCCTGTGTTGATAGAGTGGCTTTCTGTGCTAGGTGTCCTATAGGGCCCAGTGGCTCAGCCTCCCTAATTGCCAGAGGTGGACACTTTTGGTGCACCCCTTTGTGGGCTGTGTGCACAGTTTTGTTGTAATAAAGCCTTGATTGCTGTTGGTGTCACTGGGAGGAATTGACCTCCGTGCCAATTGGCTGTGAGGACCAGTTGTGTCTTCAATGGGAGAACTTCTGTGGAGCTACAGAGAGATCTGCAGATTCCTCCTCTTTGTTAGGGGTTTGGAGGTGCCCAGATGAGGCACAGCTGTGAAGTAATGCAGGCTGCTGACAGCCTTAGGCCTTTTGGAAGCCTTGGGTTTCTCTGACCCAGCTGCAGTTTGACAGGTTTTTAGGGGGAGAAAGGCCAAGCCATTTGTATGCAAAAGTGTCTGGGCACAGCTTGGGTGGTGTTGTAAATTGGGTGGGGTGTGGTCTCAGGAAGTCATGGTGCAGTGCAAACAGCAATGGTTGCCATCGGCCCTCCCCTGATAGGTCCCTGGGTCAATATGTCCCTCCGCCCTGTGCAGGATCAATGAACCCTGCAAGCACCTCTGCGAGAAAGCCGCCCTCATGTTCCAGCCCTATGCCAAACAGTACAGTTTCTCTCCTTATGAGTCTGGGTCCCCAGATTCTCGCCCAGCACTGGATTTCAGAGGAGTCTGGAGCTTGTATCTCCCTCCCGGTTGAAAAAGACAACCTTGTACCCAGCTGCAGCCCCTTTCATGTGAGCCTCCATACCTCCACACTTCCACACCTCTGCACCTCCTACTGGACTCAATGTGCTTTTCTCTTTCCTTTTAGTTGTAAAATTTCCACTCAGCCAGCCTTCCCGTGATTCTGGATGCTATTCGTTTTGTCTTTTAGTTGTAGTTTTAATGTGGTTATGCAAGGCAGCGAGTCCAGGTGCTTACCTATGTCGCCAGCTTGGTTGTCCTCTGTTTACTGATAGGCCTCCACACCTCTCCCTTTCTCTGTCCGCTGTTGGCCCCTCTCTCCGCCTCAGTTTCTAAGCTGGTAATAATACAGAAAGGAAGCTTTCTGGTATTAGCTGACATCTCCCCTGACCTTGGTGATTTTAAGGGTAGTCATCCCTGTTAGACATTATCATACAAAGCCGTGTTGTGCAGTGCTCCTTCTTGTGCCTCAGGTTGTTTGCATGTGTTGTCCCTTTTTCCCAGAACAATTTAAAACAACAACAACAACATTTCATTAGAAAATGTTTGCACACAGCAGGGTTGGTAGGATTTGACAGTGAGCACCCATATGTGCCTACCTGGGTTCAACCATTAACCTCTTTGCTTGCTTCATCGCCTGCCTGCCCCTCTGTGTCCTCTGTCCACTGTTAGCCTCTGTAGTATGTCGATGCATTTTCCAAGTAGCTTGCAGACATCCCCTTCAATGCTTCAGCATCCTGGTCAGCCCCAGAGCCGGTGTCTGCAGCAGGTTCTGTAGGTGACACTGACACACAGTGAGGGCACGGACGGGAAGGGCACTTTCCCTGCTTCGTCACAGTCACGTCCACCTTGTAATGCCACCGAGATCAAGACACAGGGCACTCCGCACCCCCAAGAGTTCCTCACACCCTTCTCAGTTACCAAGCACACACTTCACACTTCCCCAACTGCAGTTCTCCAGGCCTTCTGACCCGACCCATAACCTTGGGGGTTGGAGCCTCTCTCTCTCTGGCCTCCCTATGCCTCCTGCTGCTAATGAACTATGCACGCGGTGCAGGGAGGGTTTCACTTTGCTGAAGCCCCAGGCCATTAATTTTCTTCCAGAGCCTTATCCCTGTGGGAAACTCACTCTGCCACAGAGGAGGAGGCTGGAGTCCCTGAGCACCCACAGCAGCAAGGATCCCCCAGAAGACAGTGGAGACCTGGATCCCACCATGAACCCTTTCGATGGAGACCTGGATCCCACCGCAAACCCTTTCGATCTGCCAGGCTTGAATAACACACAGCCAAGTTCTGCAGAGGAGGAGAACCCACTAGTCAGGATAGTGGGAGGGAGGGACTGCAATGATGGCGAATGCCCCTGGCAGGTAAGTGCCGAGCACATTCAGTGAGTTAACTGGATGGGCAATCCATTATGGCTGGGCACTGCAGGCACGGCCATGGAGGCCGAGGCCGGGATCATGATGCCCACCCACACATGTGGATCCTCAGCAAGCTCTGAGCTCCCATGCTGAAGGAACCTGAGATGAGAAGGAACTGGGCGCTTGCTTACGCCCTCCAGCCCTGCTGCCCATTCCCATCCCATGTTCAGGATCTGAGCCCTCAAATATCTCCTACAGAAGGAAAGATGGGGTGCCAGCTCAGGCCTTGGATGAGCAGGTAAAAGGCAGCTCCCCTGATTGTGGGTGAGGTCTCTGCTGGCTCTTCTGTTCGACTGGAGGCTGAAAGATTTACTATCCTTGTTTCATTTCTAATTTGGTAAAACTTTTTATTGAAACACCTAAATTCTAATGAGGCAGAGAGTACCTTAGAGCAGCAGTTCTCAACCTGTGGGTCGTGATCCCTTTGGGGGTCCTCAACCTGTGTCGTGATCCCTTTGGGGGTCGAATGACCCTTTCACAGGAGTCACCTAAGACCATCCTGCATATCAGATATTTACATTATGATTCATAACAGTAGCAACATAACAGTTATGAAGTAGCAACAAAAATAATTTTATGGTTGGGTCACAACATGAGAAACTGTATTTAAAGGGCCAGAAGGTTGAGAGCCACTGCCATAGAGAAAAATACATCCATTTTTATCAAAGGTAAAAAAAAAGAAACATCCTTTTGTTGTTCATTTGGACTAAGGATGGCAGATTTAGCAAATAAAAACACAGGACTTCTACTTAAATTTGAATTTCAGAGAAGCAATGAAAAATTTGTAATCTACGTATATACCATATATTACTTAGAACATGCTATTATACCAAAAATTATTTGCAATTCCTTTGGTTCCAATTCAACTGGATGTCCGCTGTTTTCTCTGGCAATCCTAACTTGGACTTAATACATTTTTAGTGTTCAAAGCCAAAATGGCTTCTCCTACAAGCAAAATCCCAGAGCTGCCAGTTACCTAAGCTCACCCTAATCTGCAAGCTACACGACAGCTATGCATTTGTCTGAATGATCAAGAGCCAATACAGGACATTTCAACATCTAGTCATCATTCACCCCAAGTGTATTTATGGAGAACTTGCAAGTCCGGCATAGAGTTGGGGTTGTGTGTGTAGACGGTGAGATCATCAGAGCTGTTTCTCTGACATGTGGACATCTAGATCTGAGAAAGAGAGGTGAGGTCCACCCAAATGACCACAATTCAAGTTGATGTGATAAAGGCCACGAAGGTGGTACCATTGGGTGTAGAACCAAGTTCCACTGGGAAGATTAGGACAAGGGCCCTCCGGGTAGAGGTGTCAGCTCTGGGGGTGGTTTTAGATGGGACTCCAAGAGCAGAGGGGACAGGGAAGGGGACTGGGCAGAAGGATCCTCACCAGCCGGTTCCTCGATGAGTCTGTAGGGGGAATTCATGATTCTTGCTCTCCTGGTTCCAGTTAGCACAAGTTGCCTCACCTCCATCTTTAAGAAGAACAGAAGGTGTCCAATCTTAGAAAGACTGGCTCTCCCTCACTCATCACCCAAGTTGTATTAAGAGTTGATAAATTATACCCCCCCAAAAAGGGTAAAGAAACATTACAGAAGTCCCCTGACTTATGATGGTTCGACTTTTACAATGGCTTAGTTTTACAATGCTATAAGTGATACACATTGGTCTTTCCCGGGTTCTCCATGTGCTGTATGATACTCTCTCCTGATGCTGGCAGTGAGCCCAGCCAGGCGATCAAGAGGGGAACGACCAGTACTTCACAGTGTCTTTGACTATTGTATTCTGAGCACCTTTAAGGTGGACTAGGCTAAGCTATGATATTTAGTAGGTTAGGTGTATTGAACGCATTTTTTTACTTACCACATTTTCAACTTACAATGGGTTTATTGGGACCTGACCCATCATAAGTCAAGTAACATCTGTACTACATACCAGACAGGAACATCTTCAAGAATCCTTTTAGAACTTGATGTTATTTGTTTCATTTACCCACACATATCCCCAGCCAATAACTGTTGCTTAAAGAATGTGGAATTCCCATAATAAAGGGGAGGAAAACA